GGCTCATCAGCAAAGAACTGCGCAAGCAGAGGCAGCGAGGGACGAGAGGAAGAACAGCAAAGAAAAGCCAGGCAGCATCGCAGAGCGTTGGGCAACGGTCACACAAAACAACGCACACAAAGCTCGCCAACTCAACAAAGTGTGCCAAAACAGTAGGTAGAGCGCTATGACTCGTAAAACACATGGCAAATCCCAACATCCAAAACCGTCGCAGCTCGGCTCGTTCTCGCTCAGGAAGCAGATTGCTGTACGACTTAGATGCTGATGAGCCTTCTGTCACTGGATTGCAGCCGAAGTGGCCTCCTCGGCGATCTGCGGCCTCTCTCCTCTGCAATGGGGCCCAGCGCTGGGGCCCCAGCTAGTTTAGCTTTTTCCGCATAACTGGAGCCTCCAGCTTAGTGGTGTGTGCCCTGTGAGGCACCTGTGAGCGTTTGGCGGCGCCACGTGGCGATTTGATGGATGGAAGATGCCGAGTGGCGGAGTGTAGCCGAAGTGGCCTCGCCATTTGGTCAGTTCAGGCATGCCTCAGTGGGTATGCTTCCCTGTCACAACCGTGAAGGGCGCGAGTTCGGTTCGCGGAGACGTCCGGTATAAGAACCACCGCGGGGCGAGGCCCTAAGGAGGAATGAGGAAGGGTCGGACCTCTCGAGGTGGGCGACTCACTGAGTTACCCATCTCGAGAGGTCTTGCCATGTGAGCTGGCAAGCCCGGGGGGTCTTGCGTCTCAACAGAGTGTTCTGAGGCCTTAACTTTGAGGCGTGACACGCTGCAGTTTGTGGAACACTCTGTCTGCACACTGCACTAGGGCTGTCATCCTCGGCATCGCATCCTGGCAAACGGGATTTGGCTGCTCAAGCTTCAAGGTGATGGTGTCGTCCAAATTGATATGGTCGGACGGAAGGCAGTCTGGCTGTAAGGTGCTTTTCAGCCCCTGAGAGGCCATTCCGGGGCAGGAGTTCAAATGCCAAGACCCCGGTAGACTCTGAGCGGCCTCTTTCCTGGATGGTTGCGGCCCCTTCTTGCTTCCGGTGTCTGTCGAGCACTGGCGCTTCGATACACAGCCGGTGTCATCCGGCTGCCAGGGATTGCGAGGCATTTCAGCCGCGCGCACAGTGGCTCATTGAACATTGACGGCCGGCCTCTCACTAAAATCGTAACTCAGCCAATCAATCACTCAGGTCATGCCTTTAACAGGGCGCGGCGCTGCTCAAGACGTACATCTGCCGTTCCATTACGGCGGGTTGCACTGACAGGTCCGCTCGCTCAGTCACTCATGCTCGGACCCATTCCTGCCTGTCGCTGTGTGTGTGTGTGTATGCAGTGATGTCTGCTGTGGCTGCATGATCTGGTGGTGCCCTGACCCAGACGATGCATGAGTGTCTCCACAGATGTCAGATGAAGGGACACGAGCATGCACTGCACCATGGCCCAAGCATGTATTTGCGTACAACTTGATTGTGCCCTGGACATGTCGGCATGTCCGTCCGGAGGGACACGATCATGGAAAACAGTGACTGTCGAACCTGTTCTCTTCCGTGTGTCCATCCCACAACACACACACCCTCCCCTCCCCTCCCCTTCTCCCCTCCCTGCCCCCCTCTATCACATCGCTGGCACACGAGTCAGGCATGTCACGGTTCATGCATCATGTGCGGAAGAACAACAGAACCACGACCCGAGCACACAGACCCACTCCGCCAACATCAATATGTATACAAGCTTGTGTATCCCCATGCAGACGTGTTTGATACACACGAGGAAAGCAGCGATTTCGTTTCGTACGCTCAGCGCGTCTCTCTGTCTCTTGCGGCCCTCTCGCGCCACTGGAGGCACCGAGGACACGACGAGCAAGCCAAGTACGGTTGCTATACCAGACCAGCATACACACACACACAGACAGACATCATCACAAATAAGCCCTGGAGGCACCACACATGCAGCAAAACACCGAATGCTCGGCATGGGCTTTATATCAGCAGCACATACAGTACATGATTGAGTGGTCCAAAACCACACACACGCACACACGCATCCGCACACCCACCAATGAGCGAAGCAAATCACCTCAATGGTGTCCCCGATAGCTACAGCACCTGTCCACTCTTCCCCGCATCCCACATCCCAATGACTCCCATCGCTGCTGGCTCACATGCCGGTGTCGATAGCCGTGGTGGCCGTCGCCTCAGTGCTGCTGTGGCTGCTGCTGGAAATCCCCCTCTGACCACTGGGTGCTACTGTAGACTTGACTGCAGACGTCGTGGCCGCCAACGTAGTCCCCCCGCGAACAGCCGATGCTCATGCCAAACATATCCGCCGTCACCAGTGGCAGCTGCCACTCGTCATCCTCCGCCGCAGCATCGCTCTCGTCATCCTCCGCCAGATGCTTCAAGAGCGATGCTGCGGCGGAGGTTGGGGGGCTCTCGGCAGTGATGAGGTAAGTCGGCTGATAATGGGTGACGGCGGTGTGGTGGAGCGTCAGGGGGAGGGACGACGGGCTGCCGGGGATGCTGAAGAAGAAAATGAATGAATGTGAGCAGATGAATGAAGTATTCCCTCCCTGTCTCGTACGGCAGACCCACCTCGCCACAGATCTTGGCGAGTCCCACGAGGACAGGTCGGTCCTCGGGGTCGCCTCGTCTGTTGTCGAGCTGCTGGGGCTGCGGTGGAAGCACAGCCGCTCTCCCACCGCACTGACATCCCCAGCAGTCGACAAGACATTGGTCGACCCGCTCGCCTGAAGCAGCAGACGCAGACACGTATAACAACAGCGTGTCATGAGTCTTGTGTGTGCCTGTGCTCACCGTGCAAAGGGGGCAGGTGGGGGTGAGGGGCTGCGTCGGGTAGTGGAGCTGGGCGGCGGCCGTCTTCTTGTGCCAGTATGGCCCCTGCGCGGCGAGCTCTCGCAGCTCCTTGAGGCGGTCCACCTCCCCCCCTGTGATGGCGTATTGCGAGGACCCGCTGCACACACACCGCACACAAAGCAGAGAGAGACACTTCAGCTGCAGGTGTTTTCGTCGCACATGGCTTGCGGGCTGTGGGTGGGGTGCGACGACACGTCCACGCGACAGATGGCCTGGACGGGTGTGAACACCACTTCCACAGGCGTCCCGTCGGTGAAGGTGGCCGGCTCCACAGACATGAGGGCTGACGACATACACATATATAACATAGATATGTCTGCCCATTCAGTTGCCTTCCACTGCAGACCGTTTGGAGGGTGCTGTGTCAGCTGCAGGCGTGGAGTGGGCGTCTTTGGCTTGAGGACGGTCAGCAGGGGGCTCTGCATCTCTCGCACGCGGTACAAGACGCCGTGAAACGACGACCTGACAGACACACAAGATGGATAGACGCTTGGATTGTCTCTAGTGAGTGCGGTGGGTGCATCCATGCACATGCGCAGACCTGAAGTCCTTGCGGGAGAGATGGCCACCCTGCCTGTTGGCCATCCAGGGGTCCACACACACCTTCGTCAGCCGTGCCATCATCACCTCCCCCTCAGCCAGAAAGGCCACGAAAAGGGGCTCGCCATCGGGGCCGCATCGGTTGCTGGGCAGCGAGTACACCAGGGGGCAGGTGGGCTGCTCAAACACCACTGCAGGGTCGACAAACGGCTGAGCAAACACGCAAAGAAGAAGTAGTGACAGACATAGGATGAATGGATGAACAGGTTGTTGTTGCGGCTGGTGCGTACCAGGGTCAGCAGGTCACGGGCTCGCTTCAGCTCCTACATGATGACTAGCCATGTGGATGCGGAGAGCTTGCCCACCATGTCGGGCCGCTTGCCGTCCTGCGGGATGTCACTGATGGTCAGCAATTCCTCCCAATCTGACTCATGCACATGACAAGAAAGGGATGGAAGGAATGACGAATGGTTCGTTGCGTCGGGTGTGTGGCATGTCGTGCGTGCGTTTTTCTCACCGCCGCCGTGCCCCGCTGCCGACATGGTCTTCTCGTCGACGTCGTTGCCAGACTTCTGCGCCGCTGTCGTGGTCACGACACCAGTGGTCTCGGGAAGGCTCAATGTGAGCAACAGAGACTCGCGGTCTCCAAAACTGGTGAAGAAGTGACGCAAGACGTCACGCAGCTCCCGCTCAGTGGCCGGGAGCGATTTGAGGGAGTGAAGAGCCATCAAAGTCCAGCCGACCGACGCCAAACCTCCCTCAGCGCCGATGGGTATGCCGCGCGACCTGGTCCATGCCTTGACCAGCCTGGCCAGGGGCAGGAATGTGGGACATACCATCATGGCAGCCTGGTTAATGGAAACCAGTGCAGACACACACGACAACATTCAGATGGTGTGTCCAGGCGTCGCCTCCCGTGCAAGTGTGTGCGTGTGTGTGCGTACCTTGAAGAGCTGCGTGTGGTGGACGGCATTGTGAGTGTTGACGGACACGTCACACTCCTCTCCCCATGCTGTCCGTATCTGCACCACCGGCACCTTGGCTGACCCTATCACGCGCACCTCTGCGTCGGGCAGACCTTGCCTGATCACCTGAACCAACACCACAGCACAGCAAAACACACATTATCTCGGTGATGTTGCCTCCCTCCCCTCATCCCAGTACAGTACACTGCTGACCTCTTGCAAAGAGTAGAGAGAGGCCACCTTATCTTGCCTTGCCGTGGCTGTGCTAGTCACCATCACTAAGTCGAGGTCGGACTTGTCCGTGTCCAGCCCATAAGACGCAGATCCCACTTGCAGAATCTCACAGCTGGGGATGCGGTCCTTCACGAGGCGGCAGAGGAGCTCCTTGAGCCGTTGGCGGCCGTGCCGGGTCTGGCGGGCCTCCTCGTCGAAGCCGCTGACTATTTGGCTCAAAGCCATGGTCCTGAGCCGTCCTTGTGACGTCCTGCGTCGTGCCTGCGTCCTTCTTAGGCCCCTGTGAAGTCTGGAAGGTCTCCTCTTCGGCCGGGGAGATCGAGAATGACTGTTCTGGCTATTCCGTTGCTGAGTGGCACCAGCAGCTCAGGGGTCAATTTTTGACGCATCCAAACAGAAAGAGGGCGTAGAATTTACATCAAGCTGCCACGAGGGGTGTCCAGCCAATATCAGTCTTCAAAGGTAATTGAGAAACAACGGCACAAGAACCAGCAGCACACAGTCTCCTCTCACCAGACCCAAAGCACAAGGCAAGTGACACAAGCCCAAATTGCACAGCACTCAAGGCCATTCATTCAGATGGGACACGACACACACACACACACACCCTCTCTCCGTATACTTGTATGGTTCACTCAGGCACATTGGCCACTTTGCTGGAGACTGTGGTCGGTGAGCTGTCGCTGGCGCTGGGGCTGGTGCCGGGCTCGAAGTGCACCGATGGGCGAGGAGACTGCCGCTGCCCCGATGCCGCCATGGCGCTGGGCGGCACCAGGTGTCTGGCTGCAGTGGAGAGGCGCTCGGTGCGTCGGCTGGCGGCGATGAGGGATGGCGCGCTGGCGGACATGCGGCGCTGATCGACTGTAGTGGTGGCCAGCTGACAAAACAGAGGAGGAGAGAACAGGGGAGAGTGAGGGTGTATGTATTGTGTGTGTTGGTTCTTGATGCGTGCTGGCAGTAAGTAGCTGACTGACGTGGTGCTGGTAGACGTTCTGTTGGTTGAAACCCCTGAATGAATGAATGAATGAATGAATGCAGAGAGAGACTTGCGGGTGGGCTCACTCGTGGAGGCAGGGGCTTACTGGATGTGCGCCACTGAGGGCCGTGCTGTCGCCTGCACACTGAAACTTGGCCGAATCGAGCCTCTGTACAGACACAACACAAAATACATACAAGACACAAACGGGAGACACCGTTCGATTTATCTATCCCCTTCTGCGCTTCCCTTTCTCCCTGGCTACCTCTGCACAGTGGGTACGCGCATGACCGCCTTCCCCATATATCTTGCAGAGGCCTTCTTGTCCACCTTTGGTGTCTTGGCTGCGCCGCCCCCGAACAGCCCACCCACCACCCTGCCGAGCCAAGTGGTCCCACGACGCTGCTCCTGCTCCCCAGCAGGCTTCTCTGACGGCTTGGTCTCGGGAGGGCCTCGAGGAGAGATGTGGAAGGTGGTGTTGTAGGTATGTGGCGTGTAGGGTGTGAAACCGGTGGATGAACGGTCGCCAGTGGGTGTCTTGGGCGGCGCTCGGGCGGTGATGGGCAGGGGCGGCACTGAGGGGTGCGCGAAGGGATTGATGACGGTGAGCTTCTCGATCTCGGCCTTGACCTTCTTGTTGGACGCGGCGTCGCCGAAACCTCGGTGGGCCGCCACAGTGTACGCCTGCTGTACCCTGTACACACAAGAGATAGGCACAGCATCTATCTCCACACACACACACACACACACATCAGTCCCCCAAGCATCTCACCTTCTGAGCCGGTTGGCCGATGACCATGAGCCACTGGTGCTCGCGGGCAGCACCCGGGGCAGGTAGCCCTCAAACAACGGTATGTCCTCAAACGGATCTTGTGCAATCACCCGGGTGGTGCTCACCACCGACATAGGCGTGATGGGCCGGTCCTCAGGCAGCGCTTCGAGGCCACGTCTCGCCCCCATTGTGCTGAGCGGATTGGTGCCGGCGAGGTCCTGCGCGAACCTCTGGGAGCTCTCGAGGAAGCGCACCTGCCCCGGTGTGCGCGGCCGTGTGGGCATCTCGGCCTCTTTCGTGCCCTGGAGGGTCGTGTCGAGTGTGAGGTGGCCCCACATGGATGAGGCGGGGGGCGACATGATCGATGAGTTGAAGGTGCCGCGGAGGGGCGGGTGCTGCTGGGGGGCCTGGAAGCCGACGTGATAGGGCAGCAGGAGGCCGTTGATCTGCACGCCGGTGGCGGTGAGGGCTTGTGCCACAGCAGCCTGATCAGTTTCTCCAGCACCAATGGCAGCTTCGACCTTCGTGCCTTCAGAGAGAAGAAAGGGACATGGGCCTTCCCTTCCCGCCATGTCTCTCTCTCATCCGGCTGACCTGGTTCTTCTCCTGGTTTCTGTGTCTCTTCCTTGACGACCTTCTGCACCGGGATGGTGACTGGGAAGGGCAGCGACACGCCCATACCGGCCATTCCCAAGCCATCACGGAAGCACTGCAGCAGGCAAACCCCGCATGTGTAGCGGGTCGGCTCGGGCACCTTCAAATTCTGCAAAATCGCCTGAGAGAGATGAGAAAGATGAAGGGTCATTGAGTTGGTGTGGATGGAGGTTTCTCAGTGGAGTGATTCATATACTATCGTTTGTTTCTTTGAGAGCTCGATTATGTTTCTGGCCACGGTGGGGTGGCGCTCGAGCACCGCACGCCACTTCCACATGTCGATATCTGACCACACACAATAAATAGACAGAATCAGACAGAAACCCGTACACACACACGCCATGGACGTGGGCGATGCGATTCCCCTCTATCACATGTATCACTCACAGTGCGCGACGATGGATTGGTTGGGGTCGAGTGCCTCCACTTGTATGGGTGACGGGTGGTACTCCTCTGTGCACTGGTGTCCCCCGAACCAGAAGCCGCCCTCCACCTGCAGACCCTTCTGTGTCTCCTCAGCATTCTCAGCTGAAAACAAAAGGGGGTAAGAAATAAGTGAGTGGGGGACGGAGCAGACAGAGTCCATCTGTGTCTCACTGTCTCCCTCTTACCGGTGACGAGTGCGATTCCTTCGGTGAGGAATATCACCTCCCGCAGCTGCTCGCCCAGCGGCACGACCACCACTGCATCGCCATCTGCACCGACCACACACACACATCCACCCATTGCTTGAGAGGGAGATTCCGACGATGAATTGGCTTGCGTGTGTACCTTTTTTCATGCGGTAGTATCGTTGGTGGAGGTTGAGAAGCAGGTCCTCCACAAATCCATCAGTCGCATCTATCGCCTACACACACGCAATGCCGCCCATACATGGATGGATGGATGGATGCAGCCAGCCGACTTGTGGTGTCTCTTCGTTTGGTCACCCACCCACCTCGAGAAAGGCTTCAAATTTGTCGACAAAGTCGCCGTAGACGGCCACTGCCAACTTCATGCGGACGGATGGCGGCAGGTGGGAGAAGAATGAGTGCAGGAGGGGCGATGACTTCTGGTCCCTGAGGTACTTGTATCCCTCGCCTGGCCGCTTGAAGTACCACAACACCTCCTGGCTCTCTTCCTGGTTGGCCAATGGAGACAGACATGGATGGATGGATGGATGTGACAGTGCCTATATGTGTGCGTGTGTGTGTGTCGTTGTGTGCCTGAGTGATGTTGGTGCCAAACTGTGACAGCCAGTAGATCAGCTCCTGCACAAACGGCACACACACACGTGTGGTTGACTTTGTGTGTTTTTGTCATTGACTAACTCGTTCATTCATTCATTCATCGATAGATACATCCATACCTGTTTGAGTTTAAACTCAGGTGGGTTGAATGAGTCTTGTCCCATGGCCAGCACGATGGACGTGCACACCGCCACCAGGTACCCCACCAGCAGCAGCCCGCATATCTGGCTGAACAAGGCGAACCAGTACTCGACGATCGTCTTGGGGAAGATCTCGCCGTAGCCAACTAAAGGCAGGAATGGTATGCAGGAAGGGACGGACCGTGGAGTAATTGCAGGTGCTGTGCTACATCTGTGCATGGCATGTACCGGTCGTGAAGAGCGTCATCATGAAGTAGTAGGCGTACGTCATCTGGTTGACAATCTCGTCCTTGCGGATCTGCACACGCCACCCCACCCGCTCGTGTCTCTGTCTCTCTCTCACTCTCACTCTCTGTCTCACCATTGTGTCGAACCCGTCGATCCAGCTGCCCCGCTCATTCAGCCCCAGGACCATCCAGAATGACCCGAACAAGTGCAGCATCAGCCCCATCAGCAGCAGCGAGGCCGCCAGCCGTACCAACAGGTACAAGAACACGTTCCCGCTGCTCTTCAGCAGCCACCGGAAGTGCTGCCACAGGCGAAACAGGTCGAACACCCGCAGCAGCCTGAAGGCCGGGAGGAAGGCCGATGGCAGCACTGAGGTCAGGTGGAGCCACAGCCAGAACCGGCAGTAGTTGTATCGGTGGGCTGCCAGAGACACCGACGAGTCCAGACTTATCGTAAAGAAGGTCAGAGCGATGTCTGCCAGGAAGACGACGTCGATGAGCAGCCCGACGGGGTCGAAGTGCCTGGGCAGCGGGCGGAAGACCGTGCCGGCGTCGCCTTCGTAGATCAGCGCAATGGGCGTCACGAAGTAGCAGAAGAAGTCGAGCGCCAAGATGAGGATGTCCCAGCAGATCTTCCAGGCGGCCTTGGGGTTGATCATGACCACACTCCCGCCGTCATCGATGGCCAGCCACTTGGTCTGCAGCGTCCTCAGGTCCATGGCGGCGCTGGGAGTCTCCTCCTTGTCCTTCGGACGCAGCGACTTGCGCGACAGCGACGCAGCCAGTGACTGGAAGAGCGTTGGGCGCCGCACTGTCTCCTCATTCACCGTCTTGATGCTCTTGCCCGCTGCTTCGGCATCCTCCGGCAGGTCCAGCGTGAGTGTTTTTGTTGTGGGGCTGGTGGACTGGGACTGGCTGGTGCCAGTGGGGGTGGTCACGTGCACAGAGGGCGTCCCGGAGTGGTCCGCCCCGGGGGAGGCAGCGGCGCCCCTGTGGCGCGGGGAGGAGCCTTGCATATTGCCAGTGGTGTCGGTGTCTGTGCTCTTCATGAGCTCCTCGATGGGGAAATCGCTGTTGATGAGGTTGTTGGCGACCGTGGACCGAAACGTGGACATGGTGGCGGGGGAGAACACACACAGGGAGGGGGAGGGGAACACAGTGACGCGAGCTCAGTATGGGGGTGTTGTGGGGGCGCGGCTCCGCAGCTCTGTTGGCACTGTGCCTCTGACAGGTCGGTCCGGCAAAGCCTTAGACAGACAGTGGTCAGCTGGTGTATGGCGGATGTCCACTCACCCAGATCCATCCATCCATCCATCACTGATAAAACACACACGATTGCATTGCACGTCACATGAGATAACACATGCACAGCACACGGATAATATCCAGTCGTGGCCGCATCGGTAGATACACACACTCATGCATGGCATTGCAGGTCTCTGACTGATCGACTCGTGGGCACACCCACGAGCGGCCAGTCGATCTGGCCGCCGAGATAGGAGTCATGGAATGGCATTAATGCATTGCGGTACAAAAAACCAGCGATAGCTAAAGGCACGAGCGAGCGGCATGAGTAATGAATGAATGAATGTCATTGCTTGGACGGACGGACGGACGGACGCATCCGCCGCGTCAACAAACCCACCACCCTGTCGTTGCTTTCGGAATGCATGGACAAATGCAGGTGTGTGTCATGCATATATGCATCTCTCTCCAATAAATGGCGTACAGACCGTCTGTCTATCGTGCATCGCTCCCGTGCGATCGATCAATCCGTCAGTCAGTCAGTCAATACGGACGTAAAAGGCCGGCCATATATGCACTGTCATCTAGGGGTCAGTGGGTCGGTCGCCCGACCGTCGTGTGTGAAGTGGGCACATGAGTGAGTGAGTGACAGGCTGCTTGCAGAAAGCCACTCACATGTTTGGGATGTAGGCATGCAGACAGACCCTCCTTCCCTCCCTCCCTCCCTCCCTTCCCCCCTCTCTGTCTGTCTGCAGCAAACATGACTGAACTAGTATATACAAGGTATGAGAGTATACACACACACGTACACACACACACATACAGTCAGGCAGGCACAAAGGATGGCGGATGGCCAGAGAGACAGGCAGCCATCATGACAGACATGTACATGCATACACACAACTAGAAAGATCGATCACCCCAAAAATGCAATAATGCCTCAGTCAGTCAGAGAATTATAGATGGAGTGAGTTGGCTTAGATAGACATGCATTGCATTAATACTTACAGACACATACACAGACAGACAGACAGACAGCCACACACACGCATACATACACCTGTGTGTGGAGAGGAGCCAGGGAGAGAGAGAGGAGTAAAAATGACGGCAGCCATTGCCGAGAGGCAGAGAGAGAGAGAGAGAGAGAGGTGTAGGCAACAGGAGGGCGGATTGGTGGCCATGTCAGTCAGTGTTGGGCCAGTCGTGTGTGTGTGTGTGGCAAATCACGGTCACGCTGGTGACGTACGTCAAAAAATGTAACCCACTCGCTGTACTCTTTAGCCGCCGCAATGCCTCCAGTGATTGAAGGCGCTTGTGTCCTCGCCGTCTGGTGAGTGTACTGGCGCTTTCTCAGTGCTTTGCTGCATACAGGGGCGTAGCAGCAAAGCCCTGAGCCCGCGTGAGCACACTCACCAGACGGCGGAACCACCCCCGCATCTCGCTCCTCCCACGAATAAAACGCTCATCTCTTGTCTGTCTGTATGTCCGTATGTCGTACGTGTGCATGGCATGGCATGGCGGCCTTCTCTGTGTGGCCCGACCGGTTCGTGTGCAGAAAGAAGGAGAGGAGGCAGCTGCTAGTAGCTATCCTTCAAGTGCGGCACATACATACACACATACGGACGCAGGCGCACACACCGAATTCACTGACTCATTCGCCCACTCACGACCAGGCAGGCAGGCAGGCAGGCTCACACACACACACACACACACTCAGAGGATTACGTGCAGGAGCCAGGGCATGGTATCGACAGACAGACAGCCAGACAGACAGGCGCTCGCACGCCTCCCGCTTCACCAAACCAGCCCTTTATCCACACAGTCGGTCGATGGTGACAGGGTGCAGCCACGCACCCACTCCTCAAGAGCGAGAAACAGGGGGAGGGGAGGGGAGGGGGAGGGACCAAGGAAGGCACACAGACACAGGCAGGCAGGCAGGCACAAACGAGCAGGCCAAAATCGACACTTGCCGTCGACATGCACCCGTCCACAGAGAGAGAGAGAGAGAGTCAGTCAGTGAATCAAGTGGGCCGACTAATTCTGTCTGTGGCCCTCATGTATATGGCTGGCCTTCTGTCTGTCGCGCGTGTGTGTGTGTGTGAGTGTGTGTGTCTGTGATGGTATGGCACCTGTCTGTCTGTCAGTCAGTCAGTCAGTCATGCTGTGTCGCCCATGAAGGCCGCTGACTGTACAGGAGCCGGGCAGAAAAGGCCGCCACGTCATGTGTGTGTGTCCGCAAGACTTCTCCCTCTTGCACACATGTGGGTGCCTGAGGAGTCGAAGCAGCACCTACCGTACGCCTCTCTCGTAGTGTCTGTCTGTCTGTGTGCCCGTCCTTCTTCCTTTCTCTGCCCACCTGTACAGTACACGCATGGCAGCAGCAGCAGCAGCAGCAAGCAAGAGGCATCCACACACACACACACACACATAGATTGGCTCGATCAACAAAGACCATGTGGGGATGGACGTGTGTGTGATGGTGTGCGGCGGCCATGTGGCCAGAGAAAGCAAGATTATACACAATGATAGGCGCGCTAGAAGGAAAACTGTTTGCCCCTGTTTGGCCTGGGCTGCGTGCGATCGATACACAACAATTCCGGGAAAAGGATTTCACAGCATCAAAACACAAACAGCCACAAACACACGTGGCCAGGCAAACCAGTGGCCAGTGACAGACTCTTGCCTCCTTTGCCGCGCACGCAAGCAGCGGCCACGTGTTGAGATGACCGCTGCTGTCGTACGCACCCAACGAGTCAAGAAAGCCTCACTGCTCCACACGCACTGCCGACACGAGGAGAGAAAGGGGCATCCATCCATCCATCCATGAATGCAAAAACCACTAGCTGTGCCCACGATGCATCCATGCAACAGACAGACAGACAGACAGAGAGACCGACTCATATGGCTCGATCCGGGGGCTTTGCATGGTATGCATTGCATGGCATGTGTGTGTAAGTATCGTTTCCGTATGTCTGTACGTGTGGCTTGCATGTAATGTATGTGTGTGTCTGTGTTGTGTATATACATACATACGGTGTCATGTCAGCCCCCAGCAGCTTTGCCACTGATAAAGGGAGGGAGGGAGGGAGCCATTGAGTAAGTCGGTGTATCGGCGAGTGCGTGCCGCCGCGCACGCAAGCGAACACCAAGTGGCATTCAAATGCAACGCAACACACACGCACACAGGGGAAGGGACGAAGGAAAAGAAGGGCGAGGGAGGGGCAAAAATGGGGTGGCCGTGCATGTCGGATCGGGTCGCCCCTCTCACGCATGGAAGCCAAGCAGTCGGCCCTTTCCCTCTTTGTCCTGTCAATCAGGCCATCCATCCATCCACCATCCACGACACAGCAGCACGGGCGTAAAAAACCGAAATCAACCCCATCAAACAAAGAAACAAACAAACAAACAAGACACACAGACAGAGAGAAGGTACAGAACTGGTGGCCGTTCCCTCCCTGCTAGACACATCACACACACGCACCACAGATGCACTGCACCGCACCCCCATACACATGCCATGCCAGCCATCACCAAAGAAAAACCCACCCATGCATCCATCCGTGTGTGTATGTGTACATACATATCTGTCTTGGTTAGTGTCACTCATCAATGGATGGATCATTCATGTCATGTCATGTCATGCATTGCCGCGTGTCTGCATGGGTGTGGGTGGGGGCAGTGGGTAGGGCGGGGAGGGTGTGAATGCGTGTGTGGACGGGGTCGACATGGCCGGCGTCGACGGGGTGGGCGGCGGCTTAGATGGCGCGGGGGGTGCCGGTGCCGTCTGGATGGTCTGGATAGCTGTGATGCGCTCCTTCAGGGCCTTGACGATCGACGCTGCACGACTCGCAACCTGACAGACAGACAGACCACGGCATCACACGACATATGGCTGCGGGCGCGAGAATGTCCTGTTGCCATGCGTACGCACCTGTGGGTTTGGCGATTTCTTGAGGTGTTTGCCGAGCGTGGGTCCCAGGTTGGACGTCTGCAGGGGACTGATGAGCAGGTTCGTGTCGGTGCGGCCACACAGAGATTCCACCTCGCCCAACACCGACAGACACTCGTTGTACGACTGACAAACAACGGCGAGCGTATGGATGGATGTGTGTGTTCGTGTGTATGGCTGGTGTAGGTCCCTACCTCAGCGCCATGCAGTTGGGTGAGTCGCTCCCTGTATGTGCCCATCTGCTCCAAGACGGCTGCCTCGCTCCATGGGGCGGGGGGAGGTGTCACCGTCACGGCCACAGATGGGCTGCCCTTGCCCTCGTTGCCGATGTCTGCCGCTGTGGGCTCCTCCTTGACGGCAGGCGCCTCACCACCCTCCGCCTTGTCCCTCTTGACACATGATGCGTCGGCGCCATTCTCGCCCTTGACGCATGTGTCGTCGCCCTCTCCCTCCTCGTCTGTCACGTCCTTGTCCCTCTTGCTGGCAGCCCGCGCTCCCCGCCTTCCTGAGCCACCCCTCTTGGTCGACCGCGGGAGGACATCATCGTCACTGTCCTGCTGCTGTTGCGTCCCAGGCTTGGCTGTCCCACCATTGCCATTGCCGCTGCTGGTGCGTGTCCCACCAGCGGCCGCTCTGTCCTTGTCCTTGTCGCCTTTGACGCGCTTCTTTTTCTTCTTGGCGTCCTCTTTCTTGACGCCAGCTGTGTGGTCGGCCTTGGCCTTGGCCTGTCGCGGCGCGTGGGGCGATGAGGGGGGCTGGGGGTCGTCCTGCTTGATGGGCTGGCCGCTCGACGCACTCTGGGGCGACTTGTCCTCGCTTTTGACCTTGCCAGCCGACCTGGGCGGGGCGCTGCTCGTGCTGCTGCTGGTGCTTGTGGTAGCCGGTGTGGGTCCACCGGGCTGGGTGTCCATGGCCATGGGGGCGGGGTGGATGGCGGGTGCCGTCACGGATGGCGCGGTGGCCACCGACGGTCCGAACACCGACGAGTGACCAGTGCCCTAACACAGAGGACAGAAGCGAATGCCACGAGATGCAAGGCAAGGAAGGCACTGGTGCTCAGGCCTTAAGCTCTTCCTCTCACCTGAGTCTTGTCGGCGCCGTCACGAGATGTGTGGTCGTCCCTGTCCGGCCCCGTCACACGCCGCCGTTTGTCGCCCACCCTCGGTGAGCGGCAGTCGTCCATGAAGACCCCCTGTATCTGCCGCAGCTTGGCTTGCTGCGCCGCATACTCGTTGGTTATGTCGGTGAAGTGGCCCAGCAGCGGGGTGAACTCACGGCTCACTTGGCCTATCACGTCCAGCAGCTTACCCGAACACTGCATCGCCCTGTATTGTTAACACAGTAGAACACGCCGAGCGTTTTGACGCCTCTCTCGTCGTGTCAGTTTGCGGTGCGTGTGTGGCTCACTCGGTGATGAGGGCATTGCACTTGTTGAAGGCCTCCTTCGGCACAACCGCACAGTCGCTGGGCGGCATGACACCACAGAGACCTCTCCTCCGCCCACGAACAGATGTGCGGGTCGGTACGCTGATTGAGCTGACTTACACGTCACCAAGACACTTCTGCGCTCTTGACGGACCGGCGACAACAGCAGTAGGAGATGTCGCAGAGCAGTAGGAAGACCTAGCAGCGAGGAGGCGAAGATCTTCGGGGAGAGTGTTCCTGTTCGTCCGTCGACTTCTTTCCTCCTCGCGTGCCTCCTTCCCCTTTCCGCGCGCCAACCGCCAGGTCCTTTTCAAGCTCGCAAGATGCGGCGGATCGGAGAGCGAGAAGGGAGGAAAGGGCGTGCGAAGGAGCTGAACCGAGCGCATTTCTATCCCCTCGAGGCGCATTGAAACCTCTCGGCGGCTCTCCTCCAAGTCGCTGCCAGCTGAGGTGAACGTGAAGCCCGCTCGCCGTCAAGGTAGCTCGACGCCGTGAGGAGGACGCCAAGGAGAACGCCGGCCGACGCAGCAGTTTCCGCGGGCGAGCATGCGGGTTTCCGTTCTCGTGGCGCTCGGCCTGCTTCCTCTCCTGTTTGGCCCCCTTCCCTCTTGGTGCAGTGAGCTGGTGCTGAAGCGCGACATGCACGACGAATGCAGAGCAGACGACCCGTCCTGCCCGCACAGTTTCCGCCAGTGCACCACTGTGGAAAGGCTGCAAGCAGCAATGGTCGGCTTCCTGGGCATCACGGCTGTTGGGCTGGGAATCGCCATGGCGCCGTTCTCTGCTGGAGGTGAGGAGCAAGGGAGAAGGGGCCTCTGCATTGTGGCGAGTGTGTTTGTCTGAGTGAATGTGTGTCTGTGTGGCCTTTTGCGCAGGTTCGGTTGTGCTTGGCGCTGAGGCAGGTGGCGCATTGGCTGCAGGAGGCATGGTTGGGTCGGTGCTTGCCGGTCGCTGCACCGTCAGGAGCAAGTGACGCTCCATGGGCAACGGGGGACTGCATGACTGAGTTTTGATAGTGCACATGGGAGGCGGGAGGTTTTGTACAGTACGGGAGGGCCTTCAGTCGACTCGTCTGCCGGCATGTCCACCTTGTCGTGTCTGTTGGCAGTGGCTGGCTAATATGAGAGTGAACTTTTTCCGTGTGGTCGTTGTGTTGATGATGTGTGCGTTGACGTTGATCCCGTGATCGTTGATCCTCTACGTCTGATCCTTCCTCGTAGACGGTGCTTTGACGGTCACTGAGATGCTCTTCAGTCAGCGTTTCAGTGCACGTGAGGGCGTCGTCGACAAGAGGGAGCATCAGGGCGGAGGGAGGTACAAAGAGCGAATGTTCACACGTTTCATCTCTCCATTGTCACTGCCGTGACTGACATATTTGGATCCATATGTACACATTCGCTGGCCGTTTCCTGGTGGTTTTGAAAAGTCACGCAAATATATCAACCAACTCGGTGTGAGCGTGTCGGTGTGAGCGTGTCGAGAATTCTGAATTTCTGAGACGGGGGTTGCGGAAAAAAGAGCAAAGACGACGAGGGGCAGCGCAGCAATCATTTGCGGCGCTGACTACACCAGCATCCATTGTCATCGATTGTCATCGCCCTGGAGATGAGACGCGAGTATGTCAGACGAACCGCCGGGCCAACTTGAAGGAGAGCGGCTCTCAAGGTCGAGGGCGTTTAAGGTGGTCTTGGTCGATGAGAGAGGGCCGATGTTCATGGCCGCCGGGCTCGAGGGAGAGGTTTATGCGGCAACAGACATCGACAACCCGGCTGCATTCATACTGGAGGGAGATGCCGTGGCTTGAAAGTAGGCGTCCACCGAAAGAGCATCTCTTTTTGCTTCCTCTGCTATACCTGTCGGCCATCCCCCTCGAGAACCTGGTGTGGCGTCATGACGAGCTTCTTCTGACGTGGGATAAGAAGATTAAGCTACACACGGCGTTCAAGAACGGGACTTTGCAGCCATCCAATCACATCGCCAAGTGGATGCGGCAGACCTATCGCACACTGGTCACACACTTCACTAGACCGCTGCAGAAGGCATGCTTGCGGAGTATCTATAGGTCTTCTTCACGACTTGAAGATGCCTTTCAGAGAAACGTGAGCAATATGCAGAACCGGACGCAGCTCGGACAGATGGACTACGTTCTGCTGGTCGACAAGGTGATTCACGTGATTATCGAGGCCAAGGCGAGCGGCCGCTTTGGGGACAAGGAGGAGGTACAGCTGCTAGAATATCTGATGACGGCTGGGGTGTCTAGAGGAGTCCTGACCAAGGGATATGTTTGGACATTCTATCGATTGACGAACGGAGATCTGGAAGAAGATGGCCCATCTATTGTGCTCTACCCCTACGATCCGAATCTGGAAGAGAACATAACTCGAGTGGGGAGACAGCTGATGAAGATGATCATGGAGCAGTCTGAGATGGGCTGTTGATGCGAACCTGCCTCTGTCGCGCTGCCAGTGCGCTGCCGTTCTCGGGCTGCCTTTGTCGTGCTGCCTCTGTCGCGCTGCCTCTGTCGTGCTCCTGTGAGTCTTCTGCACGACTTGACGGTGCCTTAACGAGAAATGTGAACCACGTGCAAGACCGGAAGCAGCTCGGGGAGATAGACCACGCATTCTTGGTCGACGAAATGATTACGTAATGATTCACCTCATCATCGAGGCGAAGGCTGACGGCCGCTTTCAAGATAGGAAGAGGCGGGGGTGTCAGGGGGGCGCTCTCGAGGAGTGCTGACGAATGGCTATACTTGGACGTTTTATCGCCTGGTCATGCCAAACGACCCAGGTCTGGCGGAAGCCAAAGATGGCCCACCGTCCTCTCATCGGACGACCCAAATCTGGCGGAGGACATTGCGAAAGTGGGCAGAGCTGATAAATGTCTATGCAGTCGCTTGGCTGGGCGAAGCAGCTTGGCTGGCGTCGGCGCTACGACCGCGTGCTGCAGCTGTATATCGGGGTCAACGAGCATCTCAATCTTGAGGCTGCCCGGCACTGCGGCATAGCCCCTGCGATAGCCCGGCGATACTGCGGCTTCGCCCGGCTGATGTGGGTTGGTCGAGATCAAAATCTGTCGACAAGGTGGGCGAGCTGATGCAAATCTGTTTGCATTTTCGTGTCTCGGCTCTGTTCGTTGCTACAGGAGCTGCGTGCGGTGCTGTCACCTACCCAGGTATTAGCCGCTTTGGAGACAAGCAAGAGGCGCAGCTATTGGAGTGTATGAAAATGACCGGCGTATCTCGAGGCGTGCTGATGAACGGGTATACTTGGACTTCTTATCAGCTGACACAACGCGGCCACGGTCGGACCGGCGACCTGGTCAGAGACGTCGAATCTTTTTTTCTTTTTTTTCAGCGAACGACCCCAGCCTGAAGGAAGCCATTGAGGAAGTCGGCCTCTGTACGCCATGTACCATTCTTCAACGCGTTTGAGTGCTGCCTGGGAAGAGGACGTAAACGGCATCGAGAGCGAGCGGTCGCTGTTTGGACGCATGGACGCCGTCCTGTTGGCGGATGGAGTCATTCGATTTATCATAGAGAAGAAGAGGGTCGGCTGCTTCGGTGAGGCTGAGGAGGTGCAGCTGCTGGACTATGAAAATGACCGGCGTATCTCGGGGCCTCCTGACGAACGGGTATACTTGGACCTTCTATCGGCTGACAAAGGACGGCAACCTCGCCAAAGACGGCAAATCTATTTTTCTGTCAGCAAATGACCGTCGTCTGAAGAAGGCAATCGAGAAGGTGGGGCAGAAGCTGATCGAAATGATCAGTGCCGAGGCGCTGCACATAGGGTGGGGAGTGGGTGATCTCAGTCTGCCGCCCTGCTGGACACTGATGAGGGCGATCATATGGTACGCATCCGTGCACGGAAAGGGATATATACGTACGTGTCTTTGCACCCATGCATGCAGGTCGAGGATGCAGGATAGCCTACACTGACCTGAAGCCGAGCAACATGGTGTCAAGCTCATCGACGCCACACGAGCCCTGCATCTGCACAAGCAGCCAGGGAAGGGTCGTTTTACTTGGCGGCAGGGCGTCCACACAAAGTCCACTACCATAGGTGTTTCTTGACACACACGCTGTCTACATTTTATATTGGATGGAATGTGACAATCAATGATCGATCATGCGACGTCGGCGGCCACAGTCGAGAAGCAGGGGTTGTGACGTGAAGTTGCTGTTGTGCGCCCGTGCCAGATCGCATTCCCACACACTGATTGACACGTCTCCGTGTGAAACCATTATTCTCTGTTCCTGATTCCCTTCATGGCCCCTTGAGCACATCTTTTCCGTGCATTCCTCTACAGTGCATTGACACAGCTGTGCGCTCACCGGCAAATTTAAACTGCACACCAGCGTATCAGTACAACATTAAACGAAGCTCCCTTGGCAGACCACTGTATAACGAAACGCACACTCAGACCAAGAGTCCCCGGCTGCATCGAGAGGATGAATGAACGACAGATTTTTCTGCAGAAATATATCAGCAACGTCACGAAGGACCGGGTGAAGCAGCCACTTCGAGAAAGCGCTGTTGTTTGCTCGCCGACGATCCATCCGGGGATGCCCTGCAGCAGCTCGCAATCTAAAAAGGAGCACAGTTGAGCGCACGACGTCGTGGAATGTTGACGAGAGCGTCTAGACACGTTGGCGCACCGGCGAGAGACAACAATGAGAGGACACGGAGAGAAGGGCTGTTTGCCTCGCGAAGCCCGAGTATGCTCTTCTCCCGCTGCCTACCACCCCCCCTCGCCCGCCAGCTCACCAATGAGTCCAAGAGATGGTGAGCCAGGCAGACAATTGCATGACGCATGTACACGCACACGCGGATGAGTGCTGGTGGCTGTTGTGTCTGTCCTGTCTGCGTGGCAGGCGCAATGCTGGCATCCTGGCGGCGCTGTTTCAGATCGGCTCGTGTGCGCTGGCTCTGTTTCTCTATGGGGTGACGAATCAACACACAAACACGCACTCTCATACATACGGACGATCTCTGTGTGTGCGCCATCTGTCCGTACGTTTGTCTCCACAGTGGCGTCGTTTGGTGACTGTCTTGATTGTCAACGTTCTGTTCATTATTGTAAGCTCTGTTGGACTCGTGGGGTTCATCAAATGGCTCTTCTGGGTGATTGCATTCTATACGGCGTCTGTGTGGGGACTGTTGGTGGTCTTCTTCGGATACGCACTTCTCTGGGTACGGCAGCACAGCACCTAGAGTATGACCTGACCTAGGTGGCCATGGATGCCTGGGTGCCCTCCTCTCTCAATGCATGCAGGCATTCATGTCTGGCGACTGGCTGATCTTTGCCGTCCACTCGCCCATCGTGACTGACGTGGCCATTGCAATCGTGGTCTTCCTGTGCTTCCTTCACATGGCCAAGGAGTAAGGAGTTTGACATGGGCTCAGTACAGTCGTGGAATGCCTCACTGTGCATTGCAGGCGCGAGACTCCTCCACAGGAGCCTGCTCAGCAAGAAGACCGAACGAGTGAGCGACGATTCAACCACCGCCTCCCTCATTTGTCCATATTTCCGTTTTTCTTTCTTTCAGCCGATCAGGAAGCCCCTACCCCCCTTCCCTCTGCCCCGCCAGCACCTGTTGTTTTGGACGTCGGCCCGCTCCCACAGCCAGCAACATCAAGCGACTCGATTGGCTCCCGCGATAGGCTGCCGGAAGGCGCGCCGGGTTGCCCAATATGCTTGATGCGTCGGCCTGATGTGTGTTTGGTTCCGTGCGGCCATATGGTGTGCGGGCGGTGTGCGGACCAGCTGATGGTGTGCGCGATTTGTAGGGGTGGGATTCAGAGCCGCGTGAAGACTTACTCGGTGTAGCTAGCCGGTGCCCGTGCGTGAATGTCCAAGTAGGTGGGGATGGGGGTGGGTGTTGTGTGCATTGAATGCATCCACACATCATGATGCGTACCGCGTGGTACGGTCGGTACGCGGGTTTTGTTTCTGTCGGCTCAGTGCTCTTTCTCTTGTTTGTATATAAATAGCTAGCTAGATGGTACAGTACAGTACAGACATCCACTCCACTTGTATCTACTTAAAGCTTGTCGCTTCACGAGTGACGACACGGAGCCATGTCAATCAGCTGTCACGTTGAGAGAGAGTGATAGTCACTTTGTGATCAAAGTGACCTACTCACTCACTCTAGATCTATCCACACCTGTCTTACGTACAAAACAACGACGCACACCTACACGTACGTATGTACACGTATGTCCGCCCACGACACTCGCCGCATTGATATTCACCTGACTCCCAGCACACACGACACGGCCTCCCGCCACTCCCTCTCATACTCACCCGTGTCGCTCAAACAATCCTCTCCGCGTGGGTGCGGCCGTGGTGGTGGTGGTCGATGTGCCGCCGGCGCATTCGACACAGCCAGCCCTTCGCTCGCCACATCATCCGAACCGCACCCAGACTCATCCGTGTCTTCGGGCTCTCTCGCCAATGACACTGGCAGAGTCGATGACGCTCGCCGAAACCCCGCTGGAACCTCCCGCTGCTGCTGCTGCTGGTGGTGGTGGTGTTTCTTCTCCCCACCATGATGCCGCTGCTGCTCGTGAGTTGCGCACGTGGTGGTGTCTCCGTCTTCAATGGTCAAGTCGACCCGTGAGCGTGCCCTGCGTATGTGTGGCTGCATTCGCTTGACGGCCCACGAGAAGGACATGGACGAGTTGCGCGTGTCGAGGAAGCCCGACGAGTGGAAGGACGGCAGCACTGTGGTGGAGGAGCGGTTGTGATTGAGGGACAGCGACAAAGAGCTCGATTGCCTACATGACATGCAAACAGTGAGTGCACAGACAGACAGGCAGGCAGGACGTGTCATGTCATGCGTGTTGGGTGGGAGGGCTTGGTGTTGTGTTGCCTTGCCTGCCCGCTGACCGACCTGATGAGTTTCTTGTGGAGCAGGTGTATGGCCACCCGGAGGATGGCCACGTCATCAGGCGACAGACGACGCTCAAAGGGCAGCCACACCTATACACACACAACACACAACACACGTCAGTCAGTCGTGTACACACAACACTCCTCACCGACAGACACCCATGGGTAGGTAGGTACACGTGTGAGGCTTTTTGTTTTTCCTTCCTCACGTACGTCATCGCTGAGCAGGTACATAGATTGCCCGTTGGTGTTGGTGTCATTGTCACGGTCCTTTCCATCCAGGGGGGGCAGAAACGATGACGACTGCAGCGAGGGAGGACCTGATACACACACACACACGCAGACACACACACGCACACACACGCACGCACACACACGCACGCACACACACGCACGCACCATTTTCAGGCGTCCCTCCCTCCCTCCCTGCCTCATTGACCGACCAGCGATGCGTTCGAGTATTCTCCTGAGCGCGGCGACCACTTTGCTGCGGCGGATTTTACGGTGCTGTGAACGGCCGCAGTCCGTCGAGTTGAAAAAACCTGTACGTACACCCAATCAAGACACACCGATGAGTGCAGATGCGGGGATGGTGACATGCAGTGGCCGGCCGGCCGGCTGACCGGTGACATTGAGAGTCATGACGGACGCCCAGATGGAGAAGGCCACGCCGCAGCTCACCACCAGCACCGTGGCGAAGTATTTGGCGTCCTTGTCCTCTCGGGGAGAGAAAAACGTCGCGTGCATACCTGCACACACACACACACACACACACACATGATAGGCGCAGCAATGGGCGTGGCGTGGTGGCGCACCGATGAGGATGAAGGCCGCCATGATGGATGCGTCCAGAACCTATAGACCGACCGATTGACAGGCACATCACATACCTACACGGACGTGTGCGTCACCAAATGATTAACGTGTGTCCATACGTTGTTGAATATGTTTTGCCAGGGCTGCATGAGCAGCTGGAAGGTCAGCACACACAGCATCAGCATCACCACCACAGACAGCTGCAGATACGCGTCTGCACAATCCAATCACACAGACAGACAGACAGACAGATACCACATCACATGTCAGACCACACATGGCCAGTCTATGTGTGTGTGCGCACCGTACCATTGGGCAGCAGGACAGGCACCAGGGCGACCACCATCTCACGCAGCAGAAACACTAGGGCCCTATGGACGACCATACTCACACACATATACTTCGTCCGCATGGGTGCACCCCCTAATTTTGCGTACCACCATCTGCGTGAGGGCTTCCTGGACACACACAGAGACAGCAACCGCACACACGCATGTATCCCCCGGAGTGTGTGTGTGCGTGTGTTTGTGTGTTTGTGTGTACCAGTTTCCGAAGAGGAATCTCCATCGGGTCTCGAAGCCCTCTGTGGTGCCGTGCCTGTGCGGCGTATACGACAGGAGAATCTGCACACACACACACACACACACACAATTGTGTGCACATCCACACGCCAGCAGGTTTCTGATGTGCACTCCCTCCTGACGAGGTAGGTCATGAGAGCGAAGAAGCCCAGGACGTATACCACAATGCCAAACAGGCCCACAGGCATCATCCTATACCTACACACACACAGAGAGAGAAGGAGACACACATGCGCTCACGGACCCACAGGTTGTCCAAGCATACCATTGTTTCGACCCGCATATGACAGAGGGGAAGGCCGTGAGCGACGAGGACCCCACGGGATGGCTGTAGCACTGAAACACCAGGAACCTGACACAGCAAACAAACAGCACGACACACAGATGGAGCAAAGACAGAGATAGGTGTGTGTGTGTGTGTGAGTGTGTGTGTATGGGTACGAGTTGGCGGCGAGGCTGATGTAGAGCGTCTGCCAGATGGCCCCCACGCTGTTGACCATCCGGTTCATGCACAGAGGCGGGGACAACAACAGCTCACCTGCATGGCATGCAGGTGACACACACATCCATCGCATGACATATACGTTCACAAGGTGTGTGGGCAGTCCCTCCCTCCCTCCCTCCCTCCCTCACCAATGCGTTTGCCGATCGCCCATCTGCAGTGGATGCCCTTGTTGGCCGTCGAAGCGGCCGGAAGCTCTGCTGCCTTGTGTTGCTGCTGCTGTTGCTGCTGCTGTGAGGGGCCGAAATTGGGAGTGTGCTTGACATGATCTGGGGAGAGAGGAGAGGACACACCATGCCATCCTCTGGTATGTATATTTATTGTGTGTGTATGTTACCGGTGTAGGTGTAAGAGTCGTTGTTGTTCTCATCAGGGTTGTCTTGTGTGAGTGTGTGGTCGACAATGGTCGATCCTCGTCTGGCCAGCAGCCAGGGAGGGGCCATGACGGTGGTGCCTGGGGAGGGACACACACATAAGTGCACCTGCTGACTGACTGCAGGCGGACAAGCGTCCACTCAGTCAGTCCACACAGACACACGCTTACTGCCGTTGGTGTGGTGGTGATGCTGGAGGCTGTTGTCATCGTCGACAGTGAGGTAGGGGCTCTCCAGCTGACCGTTGGCTGATCACACACACACACACACCACATAGACTCCTGTGATTCTGTTGTCATCAGACAGTGTGTGTACCGTTGCTGCTGCTGTGGCCATGGTGGTGTTGGTGGAGGTGTGACTCGAGCGTCTCGGTGTCGCTGAGGTTCGGGCTCAGAGGAGGCGACTTTGCGCCTAAGTAACCAGCCAACACACACACACACACACATGGTTTGATGCACACCACGTGTCACTGACTATGTGTTGGGGTTCTGGGTACAGGTATCTACCTCCTCTGACATGATTGCCTTGGTCGTCGTCTTCGTGTTCAGCGACACAGTGGACAGTGATGGCCGGGGGGCTGTGACAGTGGTGGTGGTGGTTGACGATGTCTGTGTGACATTCCCACAGACACACACACACACACACACACGGACTGGGCGTGTGCAGCCCAGCCACAGATGCACAGACACATACATACATACCCACCGGTGTATGCCGACCCGTTGCTCTTGCCACTCCCCACTGTGGCAGTGAGGATCGCCCTCCACACCCACGACAGCCCATACAACAAGGCAAACACCTACACACATCCATCCATCCATCCATGCCGGCCGGGTGTGGTGTGGTGGATGGAGGTGCAGTAGCTCAGCATTTCACTCCCTCCCTGACAGACCAGGAGGACCACAATGGGCATGCTCATAGCGATGGCATACTCGGCAAAGGGCGAGATCCCCACAGATAGACACGACGGCCGCAGCAGGGGCAGCGAAAACTGACACATTACACACATGCGGCGCGTGTGAGTACATTCATCCATCCATCCATCCATACCGTCTTTGTGTTGTGTTGTGTGATCTGATCTTTCTGCGGCCGCTCACTTTGAATATTTCGAAGAACTGTGCGATTGCGGTGAAGATGGGCGGCCAGGAGAGGTCCAAATGGTTGATGCTGACGCAAGTCACACAACACACACGCCACACGCGCCACACGCACCATGTGTGTGCGCGTGGCGGGGCAGATTCAACTGCACACGCACACACACACACACGCGGTTGTTTGGGTGCACACCACACCACAGCACCCCGAGTACCTACCACGATGTGGAGGGCCCCCGCACCGATAAGGGCGATGAGCAGCATCCAGAGGGCATTCAGACGGTTGCTGTCCTGCACACACACAAAGGGGACACACACATGCACTCACACCACACAAGACACAGCCGTCGTTTCGTTATGTGTGGCTAGGCTAGGCTAGCTCAGCTGCTACTGTCTGACCATATTCAACACACATACACACATAGATGCACGTTGTACCTCCTTAGCACACGGTACGCAGCTCTCGACGCCCCTTCTGCGGGAGAAGTAGTGGTTGGGCGCACACCGGGCACACGCAAGGCCTACACGAGCACCTGCACACACATATCACACCACACCACACCCAGGCGTCTGCACAGCACACGTGTGTCTGTCTGTGGTATGTTCATTTCATTTGATTCACTGACCATCGCACGACTCAGGCGGCCCGCCTGGGCAGCTGGTGGGCGGCAGGCACTTGTACACAGACAGGGCATCGAACAGGGCCGCCGTGCCGTTCTGGAGAAGAGGACGAATTGGATTCACAACACAATGCATTGATACGGATGAGCGTCGTGAAGTGTAGACACACCACACACCTGTGTGTGTGTTGCCGTGTCAGGTTCCGCACTCCAGTAGCCCTCCTGCAGCAGGGGGCGGCCCTCACCCCCACCACACACAGTGCCCTGATTTATTTGACACATCAATCAATGCAGTGGACACAGAGATGGATCAAATGCATTGGAGACAGACGTACAGTACCTGTCTGCAGGTCATGCACTTGGTTTGGCGTTGGCTCCAGTAGGTGCCCGGCAGACAGGTGCACTCAGACAGGGAGTCGGCGCCCCTGCTGCTGGTGTTTCTCCTCTCCTCTACTGGACATGGGATGCACTCAGACATGCCCTGAACCAGCCACACAACACAACACAACACACACACACACACAACATGTCACCCACATGCACCGCACCTGCCGTCCTCCCTCCTCTGCACACACACATACCGTACCGTACCGTCAGTGGGGCATAGTGTCCGTACTCACACCTCTCACACACGTCGGCCGGCATCGACGCGCTGCGGTACATCCTGACCACAGGCACACACACAGGCATTCATTCAACCGTCACGTCACAAGGACAAGCAATCAATCAATCAACATGCCACACGCACCCTTTGACACATCGTCTGCATTCGGCGTTGCCAAAGGGGAGAGGCGTGTAGGTGCCTACCACACACACACACATAGACGCTTACTCGAGCGAACACATACATACGCACACACACAGACACACACACACAGACATGAGCAGCCAGCTTAGCGTGTGCCGACCTACCTGCCGGGCAAGGCGTGCACTTTTCGTTGCCCTCCCGTGGGCTGTGAAGGCCCGAATCGCACGGCTTGCAGTTCTGCTCGGGCGTCGGCTCGTAGCCTGACACGGGCGGGCAATTTACATGCAGCCTTTTGCGTGTGTGGGTGACAGTGTATGGGTACGCACCTGGCCGACAGACGACGTTGACCCAGTTGTCCCATCGGGGCCGGTTGGAGCGCACCCACTCACACGCGATCTCTTCGACGGGCGTGTTGTTGGCCAGGCTGCATCCATCCATCGACCCACCGATAGACACACACCCAACGTGTGGGGAGGTGTCAACAGTGTGTGTGTGTGTGTGTGTGGGTGTTGCGTGCAAGTGCGTGCCTCTCCATCCATGTCTCTGCGTCAGGGCCGCTGAACTCGACTCGCTCCAGGAACCGATACGCTAGACAGACAGACAAAAGGGCAGACAGACAGGGAGACAGGTACACACAGAAATCCACCACACACCCGTCAATCATATCCCCCGCCCGCCCAGGGACCCACCAGCGGGTGCGTAGTCTTTGATTCCCCGCCAGGCGGCCTTGAACAGCACCTCAGGATACACCGGCGACGTCTGTGTGGGCAGACAAACAAACACACAGGGACGCATACACTCACGTGTGGGCTGGAAGGATGTGAGTGCAGTGCACCGGGGTGTCTGTGTCTGTGCGTGTGCGGGTGTGGGTGTGGGTGTGGGTGTGGCCATGCTACCTCGGGCAGCTGCAGCTCAACCGCATTGACCCTAACAGACAGACAGACGCGCAGACAGCTGAGCTGCAGGACCCC